GAGCCAGTGCCAGTCCTTCGTCGATGTCATGGGGGCCCTGAGGACCACCTCGCCATTAGAATTGCCGGAGACGGACGTGCAGAAGATTTACGACCACGCGGTGAGGGCGCCAAAGCACGATGCGACCATGGCGAATGCCGCTGCTCCCGCAGTTGCAACCCTCTGCGACTTCGTTGAGACCGAGGCTGGCTGGGAGCACCCCCAGCTCGACAGTCTCCTGGAGATCGGAGTGGAGCTCGGCAAGTTTCAGCTGGTGGACGCTAAGCTCAGGGCCCGCTTTCATGCGATGAAGAAAGCAATCGCCCTGAAAATTAGTCGTCAAGCCTACGCAAGGCTCGGAACGACGCCGCTCGACAGAGCCCACGCCGACTCCGCGCTCCTGCATGCGAAGAGCTTGCTAGCGGCGTTCGAGGATTTCGAGCAGGCGATCTCTGCAGTGGGGGATAACTTCCCGCCACCTGGCAGCGTCATGGGCGCCGAGCGTGGCGCCTGCAGCACGGACCTCAAGGAGATCTACGAGAACGCGCTGCTGGCCACGGGCACGAAGATCAACCACAAGATCGAGGAGTACAAGGACATTGCCATCGACGCCGCAGGCATCAGCAAGCGCTGGACCGACCAGATCGGCAAGAAGAAGGTAGACGGTGATGGGATTGTCGGCGCTCACAAGCTGGCCAAGAAGACGCTGCTCCAGCTGAACGGCGATGAGTTGGAGAATAAGGTCTCGGAGCTCAAGTCGCTGCGGGCCGATCTCGTCATCGTCATCGACACGTTCGGCCGTGATCAAAAAGAGGTGGAGTTCCTGAAAGATGACAGCGATTTCATGAAGTGCATCGTCTCTGGAAGCATGGCGGTCATCGAGGCGAAGCTGATGATGGGCTACGGTAAGTTCAACGGCAATCAACTGAGCATGCACAAGTTCGTGGTCAAGCTGAACAAAGAGAGAAATAAGCTGGACCCACCCATCACGATGGTTCCAGTTTTACGCCAGTACATGGATGATACTGCCAACTTGGACTGAGTGCTGAGTGCAGGACGGCTGCCACCGTTTTGTTTGGAGGCTGAGGGGCCTCTTCGGCTAGCCCGCGAGATAATCGAGCTCTTGCGATTTTGTTCAGTTCGGGCGGCGCCCTCCAGGGGGGTAGAGGAACGGGATGAGCCGAAATTTCAGGAGGGAGCGGGACGGGGGATGGGGGTGGGCAATCGGGGTCGACCGATCCTCCCAACTCGTACTATAAGGATGGTGAACCTGATAAGGAGCACGTTCTCGAACATAGGCGCCCACGTGTCTGGACCAGCCTGTGCGGCAGAGATGCCCAGTGGCGCGAGTCGCCTCGACAACTAGAATGGGCAACGCCCTCATTCTCATCCGTCCAGTGGGTTCGGAATGCATTGATGCGCGTTGAGTCCTACCTGCGTGGGTGATTCAATATTGCACGCGCGTCGAGGCTATATGGCATGTTCGTTAAGCCCTATATGCATTGATGGTCATTGCATGCGCGTTGAGTCCCCCATGTTATACGCTGAAAACAACATGCACGAACAATCGCAATGTATTTCAGCATCGACGCTTCGCGTTGAAGCACCCTGGAGCCCCAATTTGTATCCTTTCGTGTTGCCCCCCTTCTTGGGCCTCGTTTCGGGCTCCTCATTGGCTCCCTGGGCCCCCTCCTTGGGACTCCAGCCCCGCAAGGCGCCTCCGTTGGGGCCGCTTTGGGCCACTCCTTCGGGTTCCAACTTGGAGCCCCGTTGAATCAACGCGTGTAAGATATGGTCGAGTCTTAATTCGTTCCGTGTCCCTTTGCCCCCCCTTTTGGATTTGTTTATGGGCTCCTCGTTGGCTCCCTGGGCCCCCCTCCGTGGGACTCCAGCCCCGCAAGGCGCCTCCCTGGGGGCCGCTCTGGGCCACTCCTTCGGGTTCCAGCTTAGATCTAAACTTACTTGGCGCTGGTAGGATCGGATAGAGTAGAGTCGACAAGTATTGAGTAGAACAGAGCAGAGGCCCAACATCCAGACCAACCAGACCAACCGCACCAACCAGACCAGCCAGACCAACCAGACCAACCAGAACAACCATACCACTCAGACCAACAAGACCATCCAGACCAACCAGACCAACCAGACCAACCAGACCAGCCAGACCAGCCAGACCAACCAGACCGCTCGTTCGGGCCCGTGAGGTTTTCCAGCTGTTTGCTCGGGCCGATAGAGTTGTCCAGATGCTTGTTCGGGCCCGATGGGTTTGCCAGTTGCATGCTCGGGCCCGCTGGATTTCCAAGGGCCTGTCTGGGCCCGCTGGGTGTCCCAACTGTTTCTTTCGGGGCCGTCGGGGTTGACTTCGTGCCCAATCCGTCGGGTTGGCCATTCACAATTGCGCTGCGTTGCATTCGAACGTTTTGCGATCCGTCTGACTGGTCATTCACTATTTTGCTGCGTTGCGTTTGCATGTTTGCGATCCGTCAGACTGGCCATTTGCAGTTTCGCTGCGTTGCATTCGTCCGCCATTCTCGGCTTCATTTCGCCCAAGCTGTCCTTTGTAATCGTCATGTTCTTCCTGGGAGTTGCCCCGCCCGCGTGGGGCCGTGATAGAATCCGTCGGAAGGATAAGCACGCCCTTTTCTCCCCCGATGCTTGTTTGGTTCCTTAGCGTGTCTGAGGTCGTGGTCCGTAGGCCTACTGGCGCATATTCAACAGACGCAACGCATCGTTTTTCAAAGCGATGCCAGCGGCATGTCGCTTTTTTTTTGAACAACCTTGATTGTGACCCAAAACCTAACTTATTTTGTTTTCATAAAAACAACTTCAAACTAACCTGAAAACAACTTTCTCATCATGTTCTTGCCTCCACGGCTGTAGGGGGCGGAGAACAGCATAAGGTTGGTCCCTCACCGCGGCCGCTATACACGACGGTCGTCCAGGGCATAGCAGGTGTGGCACTTTCTCGACACCATAGGGGGTGCGCAGGGGGTGGTCCCTCACCGCGGCCGCTATGCACGACGGTCGTCCAGGGCATAGCAGGCGTGGCACTTTCTGGACAAAATAGGGGGTGCGCAGGGGGTGGCAACGGCCACCAACATCATTCTTACATGCTTCACTTCAGCTATCATCGCTCCAGCCATAATATAAGTATGTGGGGTTCCTCGGCAGCGTAATGATCCTGGTGATCACGATTATGGATATGACGGTGATAATATCGAAGACGATGATGATGATGATGATGATGATGATGATGATGATGATGATGATGATGATGATGATGATGATGATGATGATCATGATCATGATCATGATCATGATCATGATCATGATCATGATCATGATCATGATGTTGATGATGACGATGATGACGATGATGATGATAATGATGCTGATGATGGGGGAGGAGGTGGAGGAGGAGGAGGAAGCGGAGGCGGAGACGGAGGAGGAAGAGAAGGCGGAGGTGGAGGAGGATCATGAAGTTGACTCTGATCCACTCGAGTAAGAGGATGAGCTGAGGGGCAAGGAAGTGGGCACTTCACAGCGCATTCTTTTGTGCTCTACGTATGTTACTGAGGATGGAGGTGGTGGAGGACGGAACAGGGAGAAGGGAGGCTGGAGCTTCTCACCAGGCCACTCAGGTGGCGGGGGCCAGAGGATCGAGGTTCGAGGCTTGAGGCTGCCGCGCCGAGCACGACAACCCGAACGATGATGATGCGGATGCTGATACTGATGGTGATGATGATGTTGCTGATGGTGATGACGATGATGATGGTGACGGTGATGATGATGATGATGATGGTGATGGTGATTGTGATGGTGATGGTGATGGTGATGATGATGATGATGATGCTGATGCTGATGATGATGATGATGATGATGATGATGATGATGATGATGATGATGATGATGATGATGATGATGATGATGATGATGATGATGATGAATTATGACGCGTTCGCACTCCAGCTCATTCACAGTTAAGCCCACTCCCAGTCTCTCAATGCTCAAGTCTGGTCATACGCGAAGTCTCTTCCGCCTAGACACTCACGGCGAAAAAGGTCCATGCGAATAGATGCTCGGATTGGGAGCTCTACGCAGTGAATAGTTTGCTCCCCAGACGCCGAGATCACGAGCCGGCTTCGAATAGGCCCCCACGACGCCCAACCGTACGCCCCCACGCGGCCCTCAGAGGCCCTTTCCCAGAAGGGTTTCCCCAGGAGCTCCCAGAGGCTTCCCAAGGGAGCTCCCGAGTGGAGCCTCGTCCCAGAAGGCCTCGATTGGCGGCGGCCCCCGCCGCGGCGGCGGCGGCGAGTGGGCCGCTCGAACGGTAAAGCTAGGACAACTAAGCCTCGAGTAGGGGATCGACTACAGAATCGATATACCCCAGAAGTTGATTTCCTCGTCGAATCCAGTTTCCATGAAATGGGCGAACAACAGACTGAGGCAAATCAATTGTGAGGGCGATCCCCGACTCGAGAGCCTGACGCTGACAGTCTGATGCACGTGTGTTGTCAGCGTCAGGATGACGCTCCGTCACTCGCGGGACTCGTTCTGAGTCAAGTCGGCTGCTGATCCAACCGGACATCACGATGGGTGCGTCGAAATCGACGCCCATCTCGTCGTCCTCGTGCAGCGGGCCCTCCTCGAAGGCGGAGGTGTCGAGGGCACGTCGGGCATCCTCCTCGTCCTCATCCTCGAGGCCAAGGTCTCCCAATGTATGGAATATAGGCTCGTCCTCTCGTGCATTCCGATGTCTGGAGACATGGCTCCAGCCCGTGTTGGTACAGCCGAAGCCGATGGTAAGGGTGGGTCACCGTGCGAGGGGTACCCCCCTTGCATCCTTGCCTGTATGGTCCGTCCTTGGCTACTTTCGATGGCCCGCCGCGCTCGAAAAGCTTCGGCACGGGCGTCCATGGGGGCTTGCATCCCTACCGCGCAACCCCACGAGCAGGTTTCGCTGCCGATCCGCCTGCTCGCCCCGCCTGACTGCGGGCTGGCCTCTCCCCCCCTCCCTGCCGGAGGTGGGCCACAGACTGGACCAGTCCGGCGAGGGCCCAGGCTCCTCGGCCAGCCTGCGCCTCAGAGGCAGCCCGCCGTGTCCCCGCTCGAGACATGTCGGCGCCGCAGACGTGCATGCGTGCTGAAATAACATGGTCGCGGCGGAGGGGGCGCGCTGGCTGGCTGGAAAGGAGAAGCTGGGCTGGCTGCGCGGTGCCCGTGCCGTGCGGGCGTGCCGCAATACAATGGTCGGGGCGGAGAGGGCGCGCTGGCTGGGGGAGAGGGGGAGCTGGGCTGGCTGGGGGAGGGTGGGCAGTGCCGGTGCCGTGCGTGCGTGCCGACATGAAGCGGTCGTGGCGGAGGGGGGCGCGCCAGAGGGGGGCGACGGAGAGTTGGGCTTGCTGGGGGGGAAAGGGGGAGGCGGTGCCAGTGCCGTGCGCGCGTGCCGAAATAACATGGTCGCGGTGGAGGGGGCGGGTGAGGAGTGGCTGGGCTGGCTGGGGGGGGGGCGCGGTGCTGGTGCCGTGCGGGCGTGCCGCAATGCAATGGTCGGGGCGGAGGGGGCTCGCTGGCTGGGGGGAGAGGGGGAGCTGGGCTGGCTGGGGGGGGGGACGGTGACAGTGCCGTGTGCTTGCCGAAAGAAGTGGTCGTGGCGGAGGGGCCAGGCCAGATGGGGGGCGAGGGTGAGCTTGGCTGGCTGGGCGGAGGAGCCGGTGCCGGTGCCGTGCGTGCGTGCCGAGAAAAAGTGGTCGGAGCTCTAGACACCTTGTGCAAGATCACTGTGAGGAGGAATGAGGCCGGAGCCGTTGTTGTTGTAGTAGTTTGGGGGCCAGGTGGCCAATCTGAGCTCCAAGATTTTCCCTCGTAACGAGCAAGGCGCAAGCCCAGGGGCACTTCAATTGAAGATTTGCACCGCAGGGCAGCGATCAACAATAATGATTGTTCATAATGGAAAGTCAACGCAACAGTAATCCGTACCGCAGAATCCCACTTCAGCCACACGCTCGGGAACGGCGAAGGATCGTTCGGCCCTCTCACCCTGATGCTCCCAGTGACCCGAGGCTCCGACGAAAATTGGGGCGGTGGGCTTCTGGCCGTGCTCGGCCCCGTCACCGACACGTGGGCACGACCGCCGTCATCGGCGCGCTCCGCGTCGGCGCCGTCATTGGCCTTGCCGTCACCATCGTCGTCGTCGTCGTCACGGGCCTCGGCACGCTCGGCGTCGTCGTCGTCGTCATGGCTTGCTCGCCGCGCGCGGCCTCCGTGGGGGGGGGGGGGGGGGGCCTCGCTGGTGGGCCCCCCCGTGGGGGCCGGCAGAAGGCGGACTATACGTTGGGCCGAAGGAGGCGGGGGCCCACAGGGGCCGCGGCCAAGGGCCTCCGGGCGCCCGGCGTCTGGGTTACAGTCGGGGCGCTGAAGAAGGAACCCTTTTCGTCTGGGGGGGGGCTCGGTGTTCCTTGGTTGTTTCGCAGCTTTCCGAAGGTGTCCCTCAAGCTTTCGATGGGAAGTCGAAGTTCAACTTACGGAGTACAGGGGCCTCGTTCCCTATCTAGGGTTCCTTAGGTCAACGCCCCGACTGTAGGGTGCTGGCCGAGGCCTCGATCGATCGGAGTTACCTACGCACCGGTCGTTGAAGAAGTCGTTGTTTTGCGGCGGCGAGCGAGGGGGGAAGTGAGATTCGAAGAAGAACAAGCGCCAGAAGCAAGCGTTCGGCGCTCCGCGCGGATTTCTTGGATCCGCGCTGGTCCCCCCGGCGGCGCCGCCCCTGGCCGCCCCTGGCGCGCTCCGCGCGCCAGGCAGGCAGGCTTAGCGCAGATCCAGGAAATCCGCGCGGACCTCCAAAAGTTTATGTCCAACGCATGCCGGTCGCTGAAAGTACATATTTTTCGGCGGCGAGTGAGATGGAGAGGGCCTTCTCAGCAGGCTCGGGAGTTTCCTGGCCTTCCGAGAAGCTTTCTGAGCCTTCCGCGGAGACGCAGAGAACACTTCTCAGAAGGCGCGAGGGCTTCTGAGGAGCCCCGCCGCCTTCTGAGAAGGCCTCCTCCTTCTCACCTCCCCCCTCGATCGCCGCCGAATGTCTTGATCCCCAGACCTCAATCTACTTTAGGCGCCTTCCTGCTTCAGGAGTCGGGCGGTTTTCCCTCTGCCCTCGTCCTCATGGGGGCGGGCGGAAGCCCAATCTAGCTTCTACGCCTTCCTACGTCAAGTGTCTACCCACTTCCCCCGACCGACGGGTATAGGGGATGCTGTTGTCGGTTTTTGAGGCCGCAGACGGTCGCGAAAGGCAGCTGCAAGGCCGCGCAAAGGCCACTAACGGCCGCTAAAAGGTTACGCATGACGCTGGAGGCCATTGAAGGCTAAAAATGAGGCACCGCGCCGTTTGTTCCGACGCGCGGCCTTCCATCTTGGGGAGGGCGCCGCAGCAATCCGGGCAAACGCCGACCTGGGCGCGGTAAGCTCGCCGTGAGGTTTCTACTTGGGCGCGGGGTGCAGGGCTTGCCCTGGGTTCGCCGTGGTGTCATCGTCGTCCACTTGGGCGCGTGGAGGACAAGCGGCGCGGCGACATACAGGGCATGCCGAGGTCGACTGAGAACGACCGCTGAAGCCCGTGAAAGGCCGCTAAAAGGCCACCGAGGCCCCTGGTAGTACGCCACAGGCCGCCAAAAGCCACGAAAAGCTAAAACCGAGGCGGTGTACGTGAGAAGGAGCTTTCAGCATGACTCGCCTGATGTATAGGGGATGACGTGGTCTGCTTTCTCGGGGGGCGGGGGGGGGGCGCGCCGACTTCGGCCAGATCTGGGCCCCCGCGGGGATGGGAGGGAAGAGTAGGACGTCAGGTGTGATGCCAGCGTACCTGGCTTGCCTCCCCCCCCCTCCCCCCCCCCTCCCTCCCCCCCCTTCCCCCCCCCCCCTCCCCCTCCCCCTCCCTCCCCCCCCTCCCTCCCCCCCCCCCTCCCTCCCCCCCTGCCTCCCCCCCTCCCTCCCCCCCTCCCCCCCCCCTTCCCTGCCCCCCCCCCCCCCTCCCCCCCTCCCCCCCCCTCCCCCCCCCCCCCCTCCTCCCGGGCCCCGCAGGGGCCCCGAGGCCTCGCGCTCCCCGTCCTGCGCCCCTGCCTCCGCCTCTGCACGCAGCGCCGGCGTCGAGGGCTCCACGCCCGCAAGCCAGACGGCCGGGGCGCTGGTCCAATCTGGAGGAGGAGGAGGAGGAGGAGGTTCCGATTTCTCCCCCCCTGAATTTCTTCTCCTCCTCCTCCTCCTCTTCCTCCTCCTCCTCCTCCCTCCTCCTCCTCCTCCTTCTCCTCCTCCTCCTCCTCCTCCTCCTCCCCCTGAGTCTGGCCAGGAGGCTTCACACCCTGGGGGGTGTCCTTACCTGACGAGGGCAGCAATGCCGTCCATGGCCAACCCACGACTGGAGTTCCACCATCAGCCACGCGCAGAGGGGGGCCGGGGGAGGGGCGAAGGTCTCTAAGAAGCCCCCCTGCTTCTCAGAAGGCGCGGGCCTGGTCTGTAGATGTAGGGCCGGCGCCTTGTGAGAAGCAGCCTCCTTCTCAGAAGCCTTCCCCCCTGCCCCGGCCCCCTTGTGCTGTGTGCGCCGCCAACACCAGCTCCCAGACCCTGGATTCCTTATCCCATGGTTCCTTCTCCAATGCCCACGCCATATCCACCGCCCTCGGAGTCGGACCCCAGGACCTCGAGGCGACCTTCCAGGAGGGACCTCGGGCCCCCCGGCGCCTCGCCTGGCATGGTCCTGTGAGATCGTGCCCAGCTCGAGGCTCCGGGCGGCGGTACACCCATCCGACCCGAGGCGCCCGAAGCTTTCCCGGTGTCCGAAGCTCTCCAGCCACGTCGTGGCAGAACAGGACGACTCGCGATGCTGCAGCGAGGCTGGAGGACCAGCGAGCGGGCCCGTCTCGCCCCCTTCACCGCCGCCCTTGCTGGCCTCTCGGAGAACCCTGGAACAGGAAAGTACTGCAACCCAAAGCAGCATACCTGCGAGGGCGGGGGGGACCATCCACGTCCGCAGCTGCCGTCGACCCCTTTTAGGGTCTCGACCCACTCCCTGGGAGCGGCGTGTCTCATCCCGAGTCGTCTTTTGACGGTCCCCCGGCCTGGCCCGGCCAGGGCCCCCCGAGGCCGAGAAGGGCCAAAAGCTTGCGGCGTGATTTTTGCTCGCGCTCCCGGCGAAGACCCCCCTCTGGGGGTCTCGGGGCAGGGCTCCTGCAGCCGTGGATGCAGACGCCCTGCGGCGCCCTCGCCGTCGGGCCCGCGCGCGCGCCGGAGGGCAAAGGGCACGGGCGGGCGCAGCAGGACGGCGGCGGGGGGCACCGCCCGCGGCGGCTCGGCGGCAGCTCAGCGGAACTGGCGATGAGGCGACCGCCGCATGGTGGGGCTCGGGCTGCAGTCGGACCGAGGTACAAGGCCGAGGTCGGTTCGGGGAGGGTGCCCTGGTGTTCTTCGTGCATCCTGGGGAGGGTTCCCGTGCATGTTCTGTGTGTGTGTTTGGGCCAGGGGAGGGTCCCATGTCCTTGAAAGATGTTTTTCTGCCCTAGGTCCGACTGTACAGGCTACAGTTTATCGCATGGGCTTGCCTATGGCAGGTCGGATTGTACAGCGACCCCAATTTGCTTGGCGATCGTCTGCTTCACGTCACTGGGCTGATCACGTCGCAGTGGGATTCAGTGGTCGTGCGCTCCCCAGCTTCCCTCCTCCTAACAAGAGTAAGCGTTTAGGGGCTCGAGTTTATTCAGTGAGTGTTTTTGTAAGCTCCTTTTGACATACATGCCGATTTGTTGCACACTTGTAGGGGCTACGAGAGGCCCTCGATGGCCACCTAAAGGCCGCGAAAGGCCGCCAGGTGCCACTAAAGGCAGCTAAAAGGTCACTAAAGGCCATTATTGGGCACTAGTGATGCACTAACTGGGGGGCCGCTAACTGCCCCTAAAGGCCACCAAGCCGAGGCGGTGTGTGTGTGTGTGTGTGTCAGAATGAGCTTTCAAAAAGACTGGCCTGAGAGTTTTCAGGACCGGCCACGTGGCTTCAGCGATGTCTTGAGAGATTCTCCTGAGGGCTCCCTCGTGGCCACTTTTGCTCTGTCTCGAGCCGTCTTGACTCAAGCCGAAGGATAAAAGTACGGCGCAATCAAAACTGCCGAAGCTCCGCGCGGATCTCTTTGGTCGGCGCTGGACCCCACTGGCGGCGACGGACGCCGCCCCTGGCGCGCCACGCGCACCGAGGGGAGGGGGGTCCAGCGCCGACCCGAAGAAGCCGCGCGCACCTCCGGAGGTCTCTGCATCGTGCCGCCTCTCGTTCTTCGGCCCTGGCCCGGCGCCTCACCAACAAAGCAGGGCGCGGCCGGGACCCGTGCGGATCCCCGCCGGCCGATGGCGCCCAAGGCGACGAAGGCGAAGGCGGCCTCCAAGGCGGCCTCGGCCAAGGCGGCCCCTGCGGCCGCCAAGGCCAAGGCCAAGGCCAAGGAGGGGCCCCGCTCGCCCGCTGCGGGCTCCGCCGCCGCCGCGGTGCGGCAGTCTCGGTCGGGTGCTGCCGTGGCGGATGACGACCCGAAGGTGGCGAAAGCGGAGCGAATGCTGCGTCTTTGCCTCGAGGAGACCGAGATCGCAAGAGTCGACGGCCGTGTCCTCGACATCGCCGTCAGCGAGGCGCGGGTGACGGACGGTGTTGATGGGAAGCTGGTGGCGCTCGCGGAGGCGCGGTTGGAGGAGGTCCGTGCCTTCGAGGCAGAGCTCAAGAAGGCGGCCGATGAGTTGCGAACGAGGAAGGACGCGGCCATCGAGCAGCACAACGCAGAAAATGAGGCTTTTGCGGACGCGTACGAGGCGCGGCAGCAGCTAAAGAAGGAGATTGAGGCGTTGTTTGATGCAGTGGGCGATGGAGATCTGGGCAAGGTGCGCAGATTTGTGGACAAATGTATGATCCTGGAGGAAGGCACCCCTTCACCACCGCCGATGGCTATTGATGTTGAGGACCATGATGGAAACACACCCCTCTCGGAAGCAGCATGCTACGGCGAAGTCGAGATTGTCGATCAAGACGCTTGCGGCGAATCACCGCCGCCCTCCGCATGCTGGAAGCGCCGGTGTGGCCGAAAATTGTGGCCAAAGAGTGGACATGCTGTCGGATTATTTGTTTCCCTGGCCGTAATTAGTACAAGACCTTCGGGAACATTTGGGGTAGGATGAGGGAGAGCATCAGGGGAGGGAGGAGGATTCGGAGTCGGAGGAGGAGGAGGAGGAGGATTTGCCTTTTGGGGAGCCCATTGGGGCACTCTCGGCGCCTCTTGGGAGATTCCTGGGGGCCTCCTGGAGGCCTTTGGGGGGCCTCCTTGCGCCTTCGGGGGGGCCTTTGGAGGTTCCTTGGGGGCCTCCTTTGCCGTCTTAGGACCTTCCTTGCCCGTCTGACGCTGTCGGAAGCAGTTTTGGGGGGCCTCTCTCGGCCGCCTTGGGGCCTTCTTGAGGCGCTCCAGGGTCGTCTTGAATGCTATCTTGGGTGTGTTTGAGGCCTCTTGGGCCGTCTTGGGGCCGTCTTGGGGGCCTCTTGGGCAGTCGTGGGGCCATCTTGGAGGAGTCTTAGCCTCTTAGGCCGTCTGGGGCCGTCGGAAGTCAGAAACAAGAAAATGTCAAATCAGTCAAACACCTTAGGAAGATCAATGATTTAGGCTGCTTCGCGCCTTCCTGGAACCACCTCTTGGAGGCCTCTCTGAGCCGTCGTGTGGCCTTCTTGAAGCCCCCCGTCGGCGCCTCCGGCGCTGCCCCTGGCGCGCGGAGCGCGCCAGGGAGGGTGGTCCAGCGCAGATCCAAGGAATCCGCGCGGAGCGCCAAAAGTTTATGCTTATGACGCTTTTTTGTTTTGCAAATAAGAAAAAGCCTCTGGAGACCCGCTTAGGGCCTGCTGGGCCGTCTCGGGCCATCGTGGGCCCATCTTGGGCCGTCCTGGGCGCATTTTGGGCCGTCTTGGAGACACCTTGAGGCCAGCTTGGGTTTTCTTGGGGCCATGGTCGCCGTCTTGGAGATCATCTTGGCAGTCTTGGAGACCATCCTGGGACCGCCTGGAGCAGGAAGACCGAAGACCTGGGAAGATTCCGGGTCCTTCTGTGTTTGCGGAATCGACAGAAGGCCCATGAGACATGTTCAAAAGGACCGACAACTACCTGAAATTCGGCGCGGATAAGTGTAACAAGTAATTGATTTGTGCATCCTAGAGGTCATCTTGGAACCCTCTTGGGGCGTCTTGGGGGGCAACTTGGGCAATATGTGGTCCATCTTCGGCCATCTTGAGTGTATCTCGGGCCGTCTCGGAGTCACGCTCACTGGTGCCAGCTGGAGCTCTCTTGAGGATCGCGGAGATGATTGTTTTCCTCTTCCTGTATATCCTTAGGGGTCCTTCCGTGTGGCCAGCGGAGGGCCGAAGGGCGTCACCTTTATTCAGCCAGGCGAAAGACCAACCATGTGCACGTGTGAATGTCGCAGTTGTAAGTCTCGTTTTCGATGGAATTACCTCTGGATCTTCCTTCGTGGCCACGAAACGCTGTATTGGGTGGCGCGGACGCATGTGGTCACAGCCGCTGGGGATTTCGGTGGAGCTCCCCATGGGGCCTCGAAGCGCTGTACTATGTGGCGCGGGCGCATGTGGTCACAGCCGCTGGGGCTTTCTATGGAGCTCCCTCTAGGGGGCACGAACTGTTGTTCTGGGCGGCGCGAACGCATGTGGTCACAGCCACTGGGGCCATCGGTGAGCTCCCTGTGGGGCCACGAAACGCCGTCGGACGCATGTGGTCACAGCCATGGGGGTTCTCTTTGGAGCTCCCTATGGAGCCTCGAAGCTTTGTTCTGGGCGGCGCGGACGCATGTGGTCACAGCCACTGGGGCCATCGGTGGAGCTCTCTATAGGGCCGCGAAGCGTTGTCCTGGGCTGCGCGGACGCATGTGGTCACAGCATCTGGGGCCATCGGTGGAGCTCCCTATGGGGCTACCACGAAACGCTGTACTGCGTGGTGCGGACGCATGTGGTCACGGCCACTGGGGCTGTCGGTGGAGCTCCCTTTGGGGCCACGGAGCGCTGTACTGGGCGGCGCGGGCGCATGTGTTCACAGCCGCTGGGGCCATCGGTGGAGCTCCCTGTGGGGCCACGAAACGCCGTACTCGGTGGCGCTGGGCGCATGTGGTCACAGCTACTGGGGCCTTCGGTGGAGCTCCTATTGGGCCACGAAGTGCCGTACTGCGTGGCGCGGGACGCCTGTGGTCACAGCCGCTGGGCCCTTCGGTGGAGCTCCATAGGGGGCCACGAAGCGCCGTAGTGGGTGGCGCGAGACGCCTGTGGTCACAGCCACTGGAGCCTTCGGTGGAGCTCCCCATGGGGCCACGAAGCGTTTTACTGGGTGCGCTGAATTGGTGGACATGCAGAGGGCAGAGGCAAAGGGGGGAGGAGAAGAAGAAGGAGGAGGAGGAACGCGGGGCGCTGTCTGTTCAAAACGAGTACCCAACACCAAATGATGGTTGGGAAAAAACAACTACCTAAAAGTTCGTACGCCTTGAATACGTCTGGCAAGGCACAGGGGGTGGCGGATCGAAGACGCCTACGGCGAATCACCGCCGCCCCCTCCCTTTTGGAAGCGCCTACGTGGCCGAACGTTGTTGCCAGAGCTCGGCCACGTTATTGGACTCTGTAGTCCCCCAGCCGTTGTGGAAACGCTCCTGGGAATACCTGGGGTAGAAAGAAGAGGAGGAGGACAGATCTCGTCGGGTTTTCCTGGAGGTTCTCTCGGAGGCCTCTTGCGGGCTCTTGGGCCGTCTCGGGCCACCTTGGGCCCATCTTGTGCTGTCCTGGATGCATCTCCGGCCGTCTAGGAGACATCTTGAGGCCATCTCGGGTTCTCTTGGGGTTCGTCTTGGAGGCCATCTTGGAGCCGTCTGGAGCGGGAAGACTGATGAACTGGGAACTTTACGGGATTGTATGATGCGGGAAGACCGGCGACCTTGGAAGTTCACAGGTTTCATTAGGTGTCGGCGGAATTGGCCGAAGTTTTAGAAACCTTAAAGAATTTGGTACGCCGTGCACCCTTGTGGCAAGCAAAGGGGGCGGCGGATCGAAGACGCCTACGTCGAATCACCGCCGCCCCTTGCTTGTTTGGAAGCGCCTAGGCTAGAGCTGTCGGGCCATGTGTTCCCCCAGCCGTCGCTGGAACCTTTCGGGAGACAAGTGAGAAAGAAGGTAATGAGGAGGAGGGAAGAGGAAGTACGAGGAGGAGGAGGAGAAGAAGGAGGAGAAGGAGGAGGAGAAGGAGGAGGTGGAAGAAGACGCCTCTTGGAAGCCTCTTGTGGCACTCTTGAGGTCTCCAAGGAGCTTCCTGGGCTCCAAGAGGCCTATATGGGGCTTTCTTGGGCCTCTATGGGGTTTCCTTGGGCCTCTTGAGGTCCTCTGGGGGCTTGTTCGGGGCCTCTTGGGCGATCTTTGGGGGCTCCTGGGCCGTCTCGGGCCGTCGGAAGGCCGAAAAGAATCCATCAACATCCTACGAACAAATAACTAATGCATTTGGCTTCTTCGGGCCCTCCTGAAGGCCCTTCTGGAGGCCTCTTGGGCTGCCTTGAAGGCCTCTTGGGGGCCTCTGTAGGGCCTCTTTAGGGTCTCTTGGGCCATCTTAGAGCCATCTTGGACTGTCTTAGTGGCTTCTTGGGCGAACTTGGAGGCGTCCTGGACCCTCTTGTGCCGTCTTGGAGGCCATCTGGGACCATCTTGGGTGAAGTTGGAGGCCACCTTGGCCGTCTTGGAGCCCATCTTGGAGCTATCTGGAGAATCTTTGCAACCACATCTGGAGCAGCGTTCCGGGTGGCCGACGCGCCGGGCCGAAGCCCTAGGGGGAGTTCTAAAACCAAACAACTCATGAACCTCAGCACGCCAGGCACCCTTGTGGCACGCCAACAGGGGGCGGGGGATCGAAGACGCCTACGGCGAATCACCGCCGCCCCTTGCCTTTTTGGAAGCGCCTATGTGGCCGAACGTTGAGGCCAGACCTGCCAAGCTATCGGACCATGTGTTCCCCGAATCAGTTTGGAAAGTCTTCGGGGAACACGTGGGCATCTTGAAGGTCATCTTGGTCGCCTGGAGGCCATTTTGACCCTTTCGGGCCTTCTTGGAGGACGTCTTGGAGGGCTCTTGGGCCGTCTTGGGGGCCATCTTGAGCGTCTTGGAGGCCTCTTGGGCCGTCTTGGGGGCCTCTTGGGGCCGTCTTGGGCCTCTTGGGCGATCTTTGGGGGCACTTGTGCCGTCTCGGGCCGTCGGAAGGCAGAAAAAAACAACAAATGCATGGGAAATCAATCATTCCTTTTCGGGCCTTCCTGGAGGCCCTCTTGGAGGCCTCTTGGGCCGTCTTGGACCATCTTAGTGCCATCTTCGGCCGTCTTGGTGGGCCCCTGGCCCGTCCGACGCCGTCGAAAGCCGTTTGGGGGGCCTCTCTGAGCCGACTTGGGGCCCTCTTGGAATGCTCTAGGGCCGTCTTGGAGGCCATCTTGGGCGTCTTCAAAGCCTCCTGGGCCGTCTTGGGGGCCTCTTGGGGCCGTCTTGGGGGCCTCTAGGGGCCATCTTGGAGGCCTCTCGGGCGATCCTTGGGCGATCTTTGAGGGCTCTCGGGCCGTATAGACCGAAACGAAGCAATGTCAAAATCCTTCAAATACCCACAGAAAGTCAGTGCTTTCGGCCTTTTTTGGCCTTCCTGGAGGCCCTCTTGGAGGCCTCTTGGGCCGTCTCGGGCCAGCTTCGAGCCAACATAGGCCATCTTAGTGGGCTCCTGGCCCTGCTGACGCCGTCGGAAGCCGTTAGGGTGGCCTTTCTGGGCCGACTCGTGGCCCTCTTGGGGTGCTCCAGGGCCGTCTTAGGTACCATCTTGGGCGTCTTGGAGGCCTCCTGGGTCGTCTTTGTGCCCTCTTGGGGCCGTCTTGGGGACCTCTTGGGCAGTCCTGAGGCCATCTTGGAGGCCTCTTGGGCGCTGTGGGGGCGATCTTGGGGGCCTCCTGGGCCGTCCTGGGTCGTCGGAAAGCCGAGAAGAAGCGAATGCCAACATCCTTCAAAAACCCAAGGAAAATCAATGATTTGGGCCTCTTCGGGCCCTCCTGGAGGACCTCTTGGAGGCCTCTTGGTCCGTCTTGGAGGCCCCTGGGGGGGCCTCTTGGGCCGTTTTGGGATGTCTTGGACTCTCTTGGGCCGTCTTGGAGGCCGTCTTGGACCATCTTGGGCGAACTTCTTGGAGGCCATCTTGGATGCCATCTTGGGCCAAGATGGCCATCTTGGAGACCATCTTGAGCCGTCTTGGAGAATTGTTTGTGGACGTTGAGGTCGTTTGCGGGCCTGGAGCTCCCTCCTGGGACCCCGGCGGGACGGGCCGAAGCGCCAGGGGGAGTTCTTTTGGACAAAGAACCAAAACCAAAACCGTAACAAGTCCAGCACGCCAGGCACCCCTGTGGTGAATCAACAGGGGACGGCGGATCTAAAACGCCTACGGCGAATCACCGCCGCCCCCTGCCTTTTTGGAAGCGCCTAGGTGGCCGAACGTTGAGGCCAGACCTGCCAAACTATCGGACCATGTGTTCCCCGAATCGGTTTGGAGAGCCTTCGGGGAACACGTGGGCATCTTGAAAGTCATCTTGGCCGCCTGGAGGCCATTTTGACCTGTTCGGGCCTTCTTGGAGGACGTCTTGGAGGGCTCTTGGGCCGTCTTGGAGGCCATCTTGAGCGTCTTGGTCTTGAGCCGTAGGCCCTCTTGGTGGCCTCTTGGGCTGTCTTGAGCCATCTTGGGACCATCTTCGGTCGTCTTGGTGGGCTCCTAGCCCGTCCGACGCCGTCGGAAGCCGTTTGGGGGGGCCCTTTGGGCCGACTTGGGGTCCTCTTGGAATGCTCCAGGTCCGTCTTGGAGGCTGTCTTGTGCGTCTTAAAAGCCTTCTGGGCCTTCTTGGGGGCCTCTTGGGCCGTTCTGGGGCTATCTTGGAGGCCTCTTGGGCGATATTTGGGCGATCTTTGGGGGCTCTTGGGCCGTATTGGCTGAAAAGAAACACATGCCAAAAACCCTCAAACAACTAAGGGCAACACAATGTTGCTGCCCTTCCTGAATGCCCTCTTGGAGGCCTCTTGGGCCGTCTTGGGCCAGCTTCGAGCCAACTTCGGCCATCTTGGTGGGCTCCTGGCCCGTCTGACGCCGTCGGAAGCCGTTTGGGGGGCCTCTCTGGCCCGACTTGTGGCCCTCTTGGGGTGCTTCAGGGCCGTCTTAGAGACCATCTTGGGCGTCTTGGAGGCCTCTTGGATCGTCTTTGTGCCCTCTTGGGGCCGTCTTGGGGACCTCTTGGGCAGTCCTGAGGCCATCTTGGAGGCCTCTTGGGCGCTGTGGGGGGGGCGATCTCGGGGGCCTCTTGGGCCGTCTTGGGTCGTCGGAAAGCCGAAAAGGAGCAAATACAACAAATCCTTCCAAAACCTAATGAATTGGCCTCTTCGGGCCCTCCTGGAGGACCTCTCGGAGGCCTCCTGGGCCGTCTTGGAGGCCTCTTGGGCACGTCTTGGGCTGTCTTGGGCCGTCTTGGAGATTTCTTGGGCGGACTTGGAGGCACATCCTCCTCTCTTGGGCGGACTTGGAGGCCATCTTGGACCATCTTGGAGGCCATCTTGGGCTATCTAGGCCGTCTTGGAGGCCATCTTGGCCGTCTTGGAGGCCTCTTGGGGCCCTCTTGGGGCCGTCTTGGGGGCCTCTTGGGCCGTCATGGGGCCATCTTGGAGACCTCGTGGGCGATCCTGGGGCGATCTTGGGGGCCTCTTGGGCCGTCTTGAGCCGTCGGAATGCCGAGAAGAAGCAAATCCAAAAATCCTTCACAAACCGAAAGAAAATCTATGATTTGGGCCTCTTCGGGCCTTCCTGGAGGACCTCTTGGAGGCCTTTGGGGCCGTATTGAAGGCCTCTTGGGCCGTATTGAAGGCCATGTTGAGGCCATCCTGAGGCTAGCTGAGGCCGTCTTGGGTACATCTTGGGCCGTCTTGGAGGCATCTTGGGGCCATCTTAGCCGTCTTGGAGGCCATCTTGGAGACGTCTTGGAGACCATCCTGGGCCATCTTGGCCGTCTTGGACGCCATCTTGGGCCAGCTGGAGGAAACAGAGGCACAACGGACGCGTTTTGAGATCCTTTCTGGGTGGCCGGCGGGACGGGCCGAAGCCCCAGGGGGAGTTCTTTTGGAAAAAGAACCAAAACCAACACCGATAGGGTTCGGCACGCCAGACACCCCTGCGATGAATCGACAGGGGGCGGCGGATAACGGAAAGAGCGAGGTACGAGTGATGACGTTCTGGTGTGGGCGAAGCCCTAAAGGGAATGGTTCCAGGGGAGGGGGGTAGGGTGAGGGAATTGGTCTACTGGCCGCTCCGCCTTGTTATTTATCGAGTAGAACAGCCTTCGGGGCTTAAAAAGAGCGTTTCCCTCGAGACATCCTCGGAAAACGCCTCTTGAGCGCTTCTTGGGCCGTCTGGGGCGCTCCCAGAGAACCCAAGAAGCGCCCATACCTTCAAGACGTCCCAAGAGCGCTCCAAGAGAGCCCAAGACCGCCCAAGACGGCCACACGACGTCCCAAGATGCTTCCAAGACGCCCCAAGAGGTGCCCAAGAGGCGTCCCAAGAGGGCCCCAAGACGGCAAAATCATTGATTTACCACAGGAAAACGTACATTTCTAGCATATACGGCTTTTCGGCGTTCGTGGCGTTGAAGACGGTCCAAGAGGCCACCAGTACCGCCACAAGACGGCCCAAGCGGCTCCCAAGAGGCCCCCAAACCGGCCCAAGAGGGCACTAAGGCGGCCCGAGAGGCGCCCAAGACGTTCCAAGAGGGCCCCAAGAGCGCCCCAAGACGGTCCAAGAGGCTCCCAAGAGGCCCCCAAAACGGCCCAAGAGGGCGCCAAGACGGCCCAAGAGGCGCCCAAGACGGCCCAAGAGGACCCCAAGACGGCCCCAAGAGGCCCCCAGGAGAGCCCAAAGACGGCCAAAGGCAGCCCAGTCCCTTCACCCCCGCCCCAAAACGCTCCCAGGAGGCCCCAAGACGGCCCAAAAGGTCCCCAAGAGGCACTCAAGAGGCTCCCCAAGAGCACCCCAAGAGGCCCAAAAGACGCCCAAAGGCTCTTAACACCAAGGCTCCCATGAGCGAACGGTGGCGTGGCAAGCTCTTATCACCAAGGCTCCCAGTACGGACGAGGATGTGAACCCTCAGACCCACAGACGGCCCAGTGACGGACACAGCTTTGACGCCAAGGTCCCCGCCCCCAAACGGACCAGTGACGCGAGGAGCTCTGAACGCCAAGGCTCCATTACGAACGATGACGTGGAAAGCTTTCAACGCCAAGGCTCCCAATACGAACGATGGCGTAAAGAGCTTCGAACGCCAGGGCTCCTAGTACGAACGATGCCGTAAACAGTTTTGAACGCCAAGGCTCTCAGTACGAAGGATGGCGTAAAGAGCTTCGACCGCCTAGGCTCCAAGTACGAACGATGACGTAACACGCTCGTCACACAAAGGTTCCCATGAGCGAACGGTGCCATGAGACATCGGGGGCAAGTTCCTCAAGCGCTCTTTCCGTTTCCGTGCCGGCCCAGGTCTATTGGCCTTCGGCCCATCCCGCTACCGTGCCTGTCTCCAGGCCCTTGGCCCATTTTGGGGCGCTCGTGGCTCCGGGAAAGTCCTACGGGAAGCGCTGGGGAACCTCGGGAGGCGCGCCCAGAGCCCCCCCAAAAAAGCAGAATATGGGCCCCCGGCTCTTTTTATTTTCAATCCTGGGGACTGAGGACAACGGACTTGAGGGCACTCCAACTCGTGCCTCGCGGCACGGTGGCGGATTTCTTGCTCAAGAGCCACTCGCACCCGAATGCACGGAACAAGCAGGGCAGGACACCCTTATGGCGTGCCGCATACAACGGTCATGAAGAAGTGGTTCAGCTGCTCCTGGAGCATGGTGGGGACCCTGCGATGGAAAGCAACGACGGTGAGCCGCCAGGTAAGCATGGTACTGCCGCGACAAAAGCACTCATCAACGGCTGCGACAAGGATACAGCGGCCAAGCAGCGCGAGAAGCTTTCAGAACTGCAGCGGCTTGAGCACCCATGGCCCAGATTGTTGTTGAATGCCTGCTCAGCTGGCGATCTGAATGCGGCCAACAAGATCATAGGCGCCATCTCAACAGGAAGAGCAGATGGAAGTTCCGCTGCGGCACTACTGCGATCGGTCTTGGAGTTCGAGGACATGGTTGATGCAATGTGGATGGCATGCACAAAGGGGCACCTCGAAGTCTGTAAAGCGCTCATGGAAGCTGGCGCCGATGTGGACAGCTCAAGCAAAACCGGCTTGACTTGTCTTATGATTGCGTGTAGGAAAGGTCACACAGATATTCTCAAGGAGTTGCTCGCCCGAAGCGCCAAAACGTACCTCCGTTCTGCGCAGGGTCGTCTTGCCTCGGACTACGCACGAGAGTATGGAGATGGCCATGCGCTCCACGATCTTGTAGTGGCCCACTGTAGAAGGCACGAGGATTGGTCAACGCTGGAAGAGGAGGCTCGGCAGTCAAGCGGGAATAAGGCTTCTGGCGCTGAGGCAGTGGAGGATGTCATTGAGCGTCGGCGGAATGTTGGCGCCTCGGATGCGGCAACATCGGCGCTGAGGGCCCTGCCAGTGGAGGAGCTCAGGGAGGGCAGCGATCGCTACAAGGATCTGCTCGAGCAGCGGGCACTCGCAGATGTGCTGGGATACGGCTGATGAGCTTCTCGCGTGGCGGCGTTGACGACCTACTGAAGCAGGACAGGGCACAGGACATCAGGGGACCTCGGACGGAAGGTTCGGAGTGGGCGAGAGACCCGAGGACAGCTCGAAGGCTCCCGAAGCTGTTTGAAGGGGGTACCGAAGATTGGCTGGCTGATTCGCCAGATTTCCAATCGGCATGTTCCGATTCAGATGGTAGTCGCGGTTGCATGTTGCGCCATGGTTTCGTATCGAGATATATTGAGCAAGGGCACCTACGCAACACACCACACGCCGTACCTCGACACACCAAGCGTAGCCGGATCGGTGAACTGTCCTTGTCCCGCATCCAACCAAGATCAGTTTGTGATAGCCGCTTGCCGCGTGGAGAGTAGCCGAGCGATCACTCACCTGGAGCATTTTCGCGATGTCTCCGCAATCCTCTGATAACCCCTCTCCCTTGCCTGTGCCGCCATCTGGCACGTCACGCCAAGGCCGCGGTGCTGCCAGCCGGGATCTGCGGGCGGCACGCAAGGTACTTAGTTGACAGTTCGTACTTCTGGAACCACAGGTCCCAAGCTACACGAGGCGTCTTCTTATTTCAAGGATCGAGTGGTTTTCCCCCCTCCTCCTCCTCCCCCGCCGTCTGCGGAGGGGGGGTGGAAATCCCATCTGCTTCTGACGCACTCCGCCTTCATGGTTCTGACCGCTTCTTCCGACCCATGGGTCCGTGCGGGCAGGCGGAGGCGAAGGCGAGGCAACTTGGCGGCGCGCAGAGGGGGGTAGGGGGAGGGGGGAGGGCTTCTTAGAAGGAGGCTGCTTCTCAGAAGGCGCCGGCCTTACACTTGTAGACAAGGCCCGCGCCTTCTAAGAAGCAGGGATGCTTCTAAGAAGCCTTCCCCCTCCCCATACCCCCCTGTGCGCGCCGCCAAGCAACGACGGAACAAGCCAGGCCCACGCCGACGGAGCAGAGGGCGTGCGTGTCGTGTTCCCCGTCTGGGCAGCGTGCTGCGCCTTGGCCCCTGCGGCGCGCGGCCCTGGGCCGCAGGGCGCGTCGAGCGCGCCCGGCCTCGCCGAGCTCCTCTCGCGGACGGGCGCAGCACAACGAACAATAATTCTGACGTTTCACGTATTCCCACCAGCACCAGTGTGTACTTGGCTTCTACTTGCTAACAGTGTTTGTGCGGATAGTGCGTGTAGGACACTCTCTGACTCGACATAGCACCTACACCGTGGTGGACTGGCGCCGCGGCGTACAGTTGGGAATTCCCTGGCATTTTGCCACAGGTCTGCATGATGCTCGAGCTTTCCTGGGCTTTCCAGTTCAGCCAGCCAGCCCCCACCGCCGCTGCCGCAGCTGCTGCCTCTGTGAGCTGACCCGGCCGGCTCGCGCTGCGCCATGCAGCTAATTACGTTTGCCCGTCGGCCCGGACACCCTGTTCGCCGCCTGCGCTTTTCGCTTGCGGCCGCGACAAAATAAAATACCCCCACCAGCCCATCCAGAAACGATCAGCAGGGGAGTCGGTGAGTCAGGGGCGGCAGGACGCATGCAGTTGCGCAGCCGTTTTCGGGAAAACGAGGATCACAAAGAGCTTTCCGCATTGAAGCTTAAGATGGAAATCGGTGCAAGCTACGATGGTGTTTCGATACGGGGTGAGGGTGTTTCGATGACTCGTAATGACTGTCCCACTGCTTTGTATATTGAACTCGCGTGCGTTTCGACACTTGGAGCCATCTTGGGGCTATCTTGGGGGGTCTCTTGGGGCCCTCTTTAGGTCCTCCTGGAGCTCTTTCTTGGGGCTCTCTTGAGGTCCTCTTAGGGCCTTCTTGGAGCCCTCTTAGGGCTCTTTGGGGGCGTCTTGGGGCCGTCTTGGGGCTCTTTTGGGGGGTATGGGGGCCTTCTTGGGGCTCCTTTGGGATGCCTGAGGGTCCTCTTGGGGCCGTCTTGGACCCTTTCGCTAAAGAGTATGGAGGGATCTAATCCCCATCGCCCCTTCGGAGCCTCAAACATGCTGTGTTGGGGCCCTCTTGGGTTGCCCTTGAAGCGCTCTTGGGGGCCGTCTTGGGGCCCTCTTGGACCCCTCTTGGGGTTATCTTGGGCCGTTTTGAAGCCATTTTGGGGCCTCAAGAGCCCATCGGAGGCGAAACAACGAAAAGGCAAAACCAAGTGATTTTCCGTAGGTGTTTGAAGGATTTTGGCTTTTGGGGGAAGTTTTCGGAGGGCTCAGAGGGCACTTGGAACCGTTTTGGGGCCGTCTTGAGGCCTCTTGGATGCGTGTCGGAGGCTATCTGGAGCCATCTACTGCTATCTTGGGCCATCTTGGAGGCCATCTCGCACTCTCTGAAGCCCTCTTGGAGCCATCTTGGGCCGAAAATGGTCCTCTGACACCTCGCGGGGGAGCCCGTCCACACGCAGGGAGGGGGGGGGGGAGGTAAACCTCCCGAGCAGGGAAAGGAAGGAGGTTGGAAAAGGAAACGCTCTAGACCACCTGCGCCCAGAGGGCTGGTGGGATTCCGCGCACCCACCTTGCGCTCTTCCTCAAAGCCATCGATTTTTTACGTGTGCGAGAGTTCTGGTAGCCCCGCTGGCTTCTCGGGATTGCTTCTCCCACTCCTCGAGGACAGCCCGTCCGTGAACAGCAGTGCACCGCAGCGCAGGTACTCTTGCACATACACCGCAAAGAAGCAATGCATTGGACTGCAAAGCAATGTGGCCCGAAGCAAAGCAAAACAATTTACACCAGAGAAGAACCCAACCAGTGGATTCCTGAAATGTTCGCATGCACGTTGTACATGCTTACTTGATATACCTTCACACTTCGCTATACACTCCTAATATCCCACACATACTTTTACACTTCGCGTATATACGTACATGTTCTTGTTGATGTCGTTGTTGTTGATGTTGTTGTTGTAGTTGTTGTTGTTGGTGTTGGTGTTGGTGTTGTTGTTGTTGTTGTTGATGTTTTTGTTGTTGTTGTTGTTGTTGTTGTTGTTGTTGTTGTTGTTGTTGTTGTTGTTGTTGTTGTTGTTCTCTCTCGGTCTCTCTCTGTCTCTCTCTCTCTCTCTCTCTTTCGCTCTCTCCTTCTTTGTCTCACTATACAGGTTCTCGATGTGTGTATACTCGTGGCTTTGCCCAAACAGTGCTTGCTCTTTGGGTGCTCCTATGTCTCTTCCGAGGCACTGACCCTGACTGCCGGTCTCGGGGTTCCGTGCTCGCCGTCGTTGCTCCGTCGCCGCCTCGTCGCCGCCCGTCGTCTGGGCCTGAGTGGCAGTCTGGCGGCTCCGTGCTCACCGTCGCTGCTCCGTCGCCGCCTCGTCGCCGCCACCCGTCGTCTGGGCCTGAGTGGCAGTCTGGCGGCTCCGTGCTCGCCACCCCGTCGCCGCCCGTCGCCGCCTCGAATTAGATTATCCTGTTCTAAAGTAGTACTAGGATAACCCCCCCCAGAGTTATCGGGTCCCCCCGGGGATGTGCGATTTACGTTCAGTTTTGCCCCATCGTCCATCCTAAAAAGCAGCTCGTGTCATCCCAGCTAAACAGGTAGCGCCCCCCCTCGCCCCTTTTTTTTTTTTTTTTTTTGAAAAAACAAGTGCTATGCACGCACATTCGTTCATCCCAAATCACAAGTGTTCAAGGATATCGTGCGAAGAGCGGGACGACGTGCACACGCGTACGTAGTCACGCGCGCATGCCGGAATTATTCAAAAATCTTAGGCTTCGCAGAGATGTAGAAATCGAGTGCCCCGAAAACATTTTACAAAAACATGGGGTTTCGCAGCCAGGATTCTCACCCCCCTCCAACAAAAAAACTGCGTTCGCGCTCGCGCGAATTCCCAAGGACACACTGGTTTTTCTATTAAATGATCTAATTCTCTTACCATGCTATCAGATGGGCCTCCCGAGCGCGCGTGTCGAAATCGCTGGAACGCCCTTGCGCGCGTGCTGGGGCGGGCACGATCCGTGAAACAAATACCATGCAGGCCATTATCGCGCGTCGGCCGCGCGCGCATGTCGAACTCTTTCCAAAACCCTCATCGCCGACGCGATGACGCCGTCATCGTCGCCGGCGTGATCAGCATCGGCGCCGTCACTAGCCATGCCGTCGCCGTTGTCATCATCGCCGCCAGCGTCGTTAATCATCATCGTGTCTACCGTCGTCGACATTGCCATGATACCGCGCCCGCCCAAGTGGCCGACTCGCACTGAAGTGCCCGTTGGGAAGTGCCCAGAGGCCAGCGCCACCGCGGACGCGTCGGTCGCGCCAAACTAGCTGGCCCTTGCGCGCGGGACCATGCGCGGGCTAGCGTGGCCACAGAGATGCACCAGCCAACACCCAGCTCTCATCGCAATCGCCGCCGTACGCGTTTTGCAGCAGTGCGGGTGGGTGGGTGGGATGATTGCGGGAGCAGTGAATTTGACAACCGCGTGGTCCACACGTGAATTGCACCGCGTAGATTGCACCGCGTAGGTTATATTTTTGCAAACGAATATTTGGATCGACCTCCCCCCACGGACTTATTGTTCCCCCTCTGGGGGTGTGCAGTTTCCATATGGTGCCGCCCCATCGCCCATCCTAAATGTGAACTCGTGTGATCCCAGCTAAACTGATATCCCCCAACCCTCGGCAAAATAACATATGCGCGCGCGTTCGTTTATTCCAAATCAGAAGGGTTCAAGAATCCTTTGCAAACAACGGGTCGAAGTGCACGCGCGCATCGTCGCGCGCGCATGCCAGAACCATTCAAAAACATTACGGGTCGCTGGGATGTCAAAGCCGATTGTCGCGAAAACATGAAGAAGAAGAAGAAGGAAACAAAAAAAAAAAAAACTGTTGTGCAGCAGAGGCTTCCAACGAAAAACCTGCGCTCTCGTTATGGCAGATGAGATCCTCAAGGAAACCATTGTTTTTTTTTCAACACTCTCATAACATGCCACCAAGCGGGCCTCTCGCGCGCGCATGTCGAAATCGTTCGAACGCCCTTGCGTGCGTGCTGTCGCTGTCGCAAGAACCCTTTGC